TGAAGGACATAGGTTAAAATCTAAAGCAATCGGACAAATCCCAATTAGCGCTTTGCAATTTCTCTATCTGGAGGTCACAGCGTAGTTCTAGAACCTTTTTTGAGAATTTTGACAGTGTTTGGGTAGATTCTGAGTACTGACAGTAATCTCGCTCTGAATACCGCTCAGCGCTCAACAGCGCGAAGTACCCCCATTTTTAGGCTCCAATCATAATCCTGGATGTCACCCATCTTTTGCACTCACCTCCAAATCGTGAAAAGTCTTCTGTCGGAAGCCGAGTCGCCGGGCTAACGGGGTCACCTCAAGACAGCGCTCTGCACGCAAAATCTCACGCATCTCCGGGTGACGTGATGCTTGCAAATTTGCACTTTCACAAGGCGGCCGCTGTGTAATATCTCGATCACGAAATGCCTACAAAAGTATTAGTTATTAGGGGTGAATTCGGAAGCCATGGCGACCCGGACTGCCTGGAGTCCGACCGGACTCCAGGTACAGACTAGGCAAGGCCAAATCCAGGGAAAATCTGGCTTTATAGCTGGAATGACCAGGCGGGAATGTAGTCGGGAGCCAGGTAGCTGAAGCCAGGCAAACAGGTAAGGCAACCAGTCCAGGCAACAGGCCAGGCAACCAGTCCAAGGGTAGCTAGGCCGGGCAAGCAGGTCCCAGGCAACCAGGCCGAAGCAACCAGGCCAGGCAGCTAGACCAGTAGCTCCCAGGCTCCCGCCAGGTAGCCAGGACCAGGCAACCAGGCCAGGGCAACCAGGCCAGCAACTAGGCCGAGCACCAGGGCCAGGCAACCAGGCCAAGCAACTAGGCCAGGCAAATAGGCCAGGCAACCAGGTCAGCAACCAGGCCAGGCAACCAGGCGGATTCCGGTCCAGGTTCTGAACTACAGGGACAGGCCAGCCTAGGGTTTCACAGAAGTCAAGTGGGATCAGAGCAGGCAAATCAAGTCTGCCTTGCGGTGGGGATCAAACTGTTGTTTTTCTGCGAATCTCTCAGATAGCATTTAGGCGTTTGGCACTGAAAAAGTTGCAAATATCGGCAAAAATTATTTCTATTGCACAGAAGCCAGGATCTTAGCTTCTGGCCTGTTTCTGGATTTGGCAAAACGGAGCAAATTGCCTCTGGAATAAAGCTAGCTACAAAGCTAGAGACAAAGCTAGAGACAAAGCTAGAGACAAAGCTAGATACAAAGCTAGAGACAAAGCTAGAGACAAAGCTAGAGACAAAGCTAGATACAAAGCTAGAGACAAAGCTAGAGACAAAGCTAGAGACAAAGATAGAGACAAAGCTAGAGACAAAGATAGAGACAAAGCTAGAGACAAAGCTAGAGACAAAGCTAGAGACAAAGCTAGATACAAAGCTAGCTACAAAGCTAGATACAAAGCTAGATACAAAGCTAGATACAAAGCTAGATACAAAACTAGCTACAAAATGCGTTCCAGACCTGATTTCTCTTCAATTTCACTGACCTTTATTGCTTTTAACGATGCCCAGAATTCGATCCGAGTCAATTCATCCAATCGTTTCCCCATTTTTTCGATAAAACCTCTCTTCTGGGTGCTGTTTAAGGCGTCGCCACAAATACAACACTCAAATTTCCTAAAAGGAAACCTTTTTTATTGATTAAGCTTTTAAAAATAGCTTTTTTAAGCTCAAAATATGAAAAACATGCAAATAGAAAGCACTCAATTTCCAGCTTTCTGCTGAGAAATCCGTTGAAACCCGTTGAAACCTTGCCCACTGGTGTTTAACAGTTCAATTCTACAAAGCTTTGTATGAACCCCGTATATTTCTGCGATCTGGCAGTCACAACAACACTCCTATATAACGGCACCTCCAGTATCGGCTGCTGTTTTCTTAATGAAGTCGTTAAGTCAGCGCCGAGCTCGGATGGCTTACCCCTCGGAAAGACTTTCGCAATTTTTCGTAAAGCCATTAATGTAAATCCTGGAAGTCACGGCAGAGCTTAAAGTGATGGGAAAATCAATTTGGTACTTTTTCAGGAAAAATATTCCAGTTGATGATTCGGTGCTAGTGAAAATTTTTTAAATGCTCTGCTCAAAAATTCTTTACCCTGACCTGATGTGACTGCCAGGATCGCCATAAATCGATTAAAAATTGGGGCAGGCGCTGAGGGAAAAGACTAATAACTCATCAGAGAAGTCAGTTCTCGCTCGAAACCAGACGGCTTACCCCTCACAATGCTCTACAACTTCTTTTAATAGCCAACATCTCTGAGGTCAGTGCACCAGAGTTTAAAGTAATGGGAAAATCAATTTGGTACTCTTTGAGGGAAAGGGGAAAAATATTCGGAGTTGATTCGGTCCAGAATCGGTGTTAGTGAAAACCACGATAATGCTTTTCAAAAAATTCTTTTTCCCTGACCTGATGTGACTTCCAGGATTGCCAAAAATCGATTAAAAATTGAGGCAAAGCTGAAGGGAAAAGCTAAAAACTCATCGGAGAAGTCACCGGGCTTGAAAGCGACAGGCTTAGGGCTCTATTCTCCGTTATTAGGGCTCTATTTTACACTATACTTAAAGTATTCGACTTTCTCAGCAATTCACCTTGACTTTCTTCTCTTGCATCTCTTTTGCTCCGTCGACAATGTGCCGTTTGCAGACGAAAAATGCTGACGAGCCTGGAATTACGAAAATTTAAAATGAACAAATCTTTCCATTTTCATTTTCGGCCAAGCTGGAGCTCACAGAACATTTTGCTGAAGTCAGATTTTTAATTTCTTTCGTTTTTGATTCGACACTTTGTACTGGAGATTTTGTACAGTACGCTGTACACTTACGAACGTTCAAAGACTAATGTCGCACTCTTTCAACAGCTCTTTATTCTTCCCATTACCCTTCCCGAAACGCACTCTCATTTTCTCTCGGATTCGCTCGATGTGCACTCCGCGAATCCCGCGCTCGATGATTTTTCGATTCGCGATGCCTCCGTCCACTCGATTCGTTTCTAAAAAAGAAATGTCAAGATTTCTCTTTATTAAAGTCCAGTGTGACTTCCAGAAGGCTACAGTCAACTCATTGGAAAAATCGTTTTCCCAAAATTTCCCTTACAAACACCGACCGTCAAATCCATTGGTTACCTAGGTTCAAATCTAGCTAAAGTCGAGATTTTCTTTCTAAATGCCTAGTGTGACTTCCAGAATGCACATTCAAGTCGTTTACAAAGTCGTTTTCTTCCAACTTTCCCTTAAAAACAACGATCGTCAAATCCATCGGTTACCTAGGTTCAAAGTCGGTTCAAAATAGGTTCAAAACTTTGTTAAAGTCAAGATTTCTCTTTATCAAAGTCTAGTGTGACTTCCAGGAATGTACAGTCAACTCATTGGAAAAGTCGTTTTCTTTAACTTTCCCTTAAAAACAGCGACCGTCAAATCCATCGGTTACCTAGGTTCAAAATCGGTTCAAAATTTTGCTAAAGTCGAGATTTCTCTTTATCAAAGCCTAGTGTGACTTCCAAGAATGCACATTCCATTCATTGAAAAAATCGTTTTCTTTATTTTTCCTCAAAAATACCGACCGTCAAATCCGTCGCCTAACTAGTGAATTCAAAATCTTGCTAAAGTCGAGATTTTCTTTTCTAAAGGCCTAGTGTGACTTCAGAATGCACATTCAACTCGTTTACAAAAGTCGTTTTCTTTAACTTTCCCTTACAAACACTGACCATCGCGTTTCCGTCATCGCCCAGCAAGTCAATCACTCGTCCGCACTTCACGCACTCGGCCATTTGGGCGCGCTTTTCCTCGACTTTTATCTGAAAAAGAGTTTTTTCACGTTTAAAAGCAGTTATTTTCCAAATTTTCACCTCATTTCCCATGAGTGGAACCGATTTTTCAAAATCCTCAAAATTTGCGAAATTTGCGAAATTTTGCTGAAAAATTTCAAAATTTCAAAATCTCAAATTTGAGACAAACTTTTTCCGTTTCCCGCTTCTCGGAGACAATAAGGATGATCGTTTTCGGAATGGATTCGGGGAAAAGGCGAAAAATCGACGCTTTTCCCTCATCTGTCGGCGATTTTGAGGCCTAAAATCGGATTTTTGACAAGGTTCCGAAATCGTTCCGAAACCGAAATCCCAAAAGTCACTGGGGAACGTTTTTAAATGATTAAGATCGTGTAGTGCCTTCCAGATTGGCTAATGAAAACTTTAGGGGATTTTCCGGAAGCGGATTAGAGACAAAAAGCATCGAAGAGCCACCTGGGGAAACCACCTTAACCTTAGAAAGACACAATGCAACCATAACCCCGTAAAAATTCCTAGTGCGTTCCAGATCGGCCAATGAAAACTTTATGGAATCCTCCGGAAGCGGATTAGAGCCAAAACAGCATCGAAGAGGCACGGGGGGAAATCACCTTAGCCTTAAAAAGACAAAATGCAACCGTAACCCCTTAGAAATTCCTCGTGCCTTCCAGATTGAACGATGCAGCCTTTTGGAAACCAAGGCAACTCACCAACAGCATGAATACGGTATCCGAAAAACTGACCGTTGCCAAGAATTCGGAGACATCGAATTCCTCGTAGTCATCGTCGATTTCATTGTCGTCTTCTCCATTTTCCTCTTCTTCCTCGTCATCCTCTTCATTGGATTCAATCTCGTAGTCGTCGGGCTCTTCGATTTTCTGCAAAATCGAAAATTACCGGCTCGAAACCCGTCCACCGGTGTTAACCGTTCAATTCTACAAAACCTCTTTTTAAACCCGTATTTTTCTGCGATCTGGCAGTCACAACAGCTTTCTAAGCATTTTCCAGTATCGGCTGTTGCTTTCTTAATGGAGTCATTAGTCAACGCCAAGCTCGGATGGCTTTACCCCTCTTTAAAGACTTTCGCAATTTTTCTAAAGCCATTAATGTAAATCCTGGAGGTCACGGCAGAGCTTAAAGTGATGGGAAAATCAATTTGGTACTTTTGAGGGAAAGGGAAAAATATTGGAGTTGATTTATTAGTAAAAATTTTGAAAATGCTTTCTGCTCAAAAATTCTTTTCCCTAACCCGATGTGCCTTCCAGGATCACCAAAAATCGATTAAAAATTGGGGCAAAGCTGGAGGGAAAAGCTAAAAACTCAGAGAATTTAAGTCGATCTGGTGCGCAAAAAAAGACCAAAATTCTCTAATCCAAAATCGTTTTTCCGTAAAATTTCCATCATTTTCTTCACATAAACCCTTTAAAATTCCCTTTTTCAATGTTTCTTTTCATTTTTTTTCAAACGAACCACATTTTTCCCATTGGCAAAGAGGTCATTTGGCGGCTCGCGTTGCTCATTTTTCGGTAAATTCATCTAAAATCATGAAAAACTTATCAAAAAGCAACTAAACTTTAAAGAAAAGCGTTAAAATCGAGAACTCGACATAAAAAAATGAATTTTCACGAATTTTCCGGGAAAAACATGCGCCTATCTGCTGTGGAAATTATTTTGCGCTCCAATCAACATCTGCTCCAATTACCGTACTCCAATCGCATTGGGATTCACGAAAATTCTCATTTTTTCAAATCCCATTTAGTCAAGATGTCATTTGTTCAGTTTTGGAACAAAAATTCATCAATAAACGAGAAAATCACAAAAATAAATGAAAAAAAGTGGTTAGAAGTCAGTCAGAAATAGTCAGAAACAGTTAAAAATTGTTGGAAATAGTTAAAAATTGACAAAATTTTATAGAAATGGTAATTAAAAGTAAAATTTGACATAGATAGCTTCAAATTCAAAAAATAAAAATAAAAAATTACACAATTAGAGCTGAAAATTTTTTCCATACAATCGCTTGGCTGCCACTTGAGTGGCCTGGAGGATCTGATCGAGCGGGATCTTTGAGAAAACCGGGCCATCATCCGGATCAATCGTTTCCTCTTTTGGGACTAAAATTGAAAATGAATACCGTAATACCGTAATACTGTAACACCGTAATACTGTAACACCGTAATACCGTAACACCGTTATACCTCTAATAGTAGCGCCCCGCGCCCGTACAGTCGCGTAGTCGCGTAGTTTTACTAAATTTCTTTAGTAAATTCCTAAATTTTTCTAAGCGTCCATAATTTCTAAAAATATATGTTTGCTATTAAAAAAATAGCCCTAAATTTCAGCTTTCATTTGATACTTAAACGCACACTTTAGCACAAACAAGTGACGAGAAAAATGCGTTTAAAGTTAGACTACGCGACGCTTCGACCGTCATTATAGGAGGGGGCTACTTAGAGATAGGAAGGCGCCACTTAGAGGTATTACGGTAGGCAGTGTTTCAGGCTGGGTGGCAAGCTTTCGTTTAGCGATTACAAATTCTGTGTAAAAGACTATCTCAGCGAACGGGGGAATTGATTGCGTAATTGAACCGTGGTCAATTTCTTGAAGGGTTTCTCACCTAGGCAAAAGATTCTACGATACTTTACGCCACAATTCTACCGTATTTCTTATGTGCTGCTCATTCTATGAAATGGGAAAACATCCGTGCTACGGTTGTAGATTGTAGACTTGTAACGAAAAAAATCAGTCGGGCTGACTAACTAACCGAGAGACGCCAAATCGTTCCCGTCGAGATGCCCATGCACATGAACGTTGCAGTAGCGGAGAATGTAACTGAAAGGGAGAATTTAAGACCGGACATTCAACCGGAACACTCACTCTCCATCCTCCAGCAACTCGACGTTGTAATAAGCTGGGCACACTTTGTGCACCTCTCCAGACTCTCTCCTCCCTTGTGCGAGCTCTTTGGAGCATCTGAAAATGAAATGAAATAAACTAAACAAAGTCTACGTTCGCACCTGTAATTCTTGAATTTGGACAGATTTTTCTTCGACTTCACCAAATGCGCGTCGCTCGTCACGGCCGCGTCGATTTTAGCCTAAATCTTTTTACGTTACGGTGCAATGGCTAGTGTGCGTTCCAGATCAGCCAGAAATACGGTAACTGGGAGACAATTGTTTTCCCAGGGCCTCGGGAGCTCAGGGATACTGTGACCTGGATGAGCCATAAATGTTACTCCCGATTTTTGCCCTAGTGATCATTTACTCAGCTCGGAAAGCTAGTGTGCTTTCCAGATCAGCCAGAAATATGGCAACTAGGGACCAATTGCTTTCCCAAGTCTCGTGATTACTATAACAAACGAGCCATCCAAGCCTACCTGCACTTGTTCCCAGAATTTTATTCGTTCCTGCTGAATGCGTACATTTGTGGCCGCGTGATACTCGGTACAGTGATGGATCAATTTTAGATGGGTCTGAAAAAGGAAAAATTTTAGCAAAAAATTAGATCTAGCACAGTTTTTAGTTCTCGTGACCGTCCGTTTCTTCTTTTGCCATTGCCAATCTAACCTTGACCTCAAATTTCTTGACACATAATTGTCCGATTGAAACAATTTTGGTATCATTAAATTCGCCACGTCTTCCTCTGTTGATTGATACCAAAATTGTTTCAATCGGGTAATTGTGCGTCAAGAAATTTGAGGTCAAAGTTAGATTGGCAATGACAAAAAGGGGTGGACGGTCATCTATTGCACGGGAATCCAGCTTTAATCTAAAAAATCCCATTTTTGGCTTGAAAAACAGATTCAGAGTGAGCTTATGCACTAAAAACGATCAACAATTGAATTACCGTGAAAAGTTCGGCGCAAAATGGACACTGGAGGCAACACTGAGAAAATCCGGGACATCCGTGCAATAAGTGCTCATCAATGACGCCTAAAAAGAAGATTTTACATGAAAACTTGAAAAATCTCACCTCCAGACAGCTCTTTCCCGCATGGACCCGGGCAAATTTGGCGCTGGCTTCTCCTGGAAAAAGTTAAAGATTTGAATCGCCTTTTGCTAACGACACTTTTAAGATCAAATCGACTTCCCTCACTACTTGTTAAAGATTTGTAAAATGTTCAAAACAAAAGTTCCAAGCTGGAACACATTCAAGCCACTCCGAATAACCGACCAAACGCCTTTCAATTTCTTCTTGAGCGCCGTGCCGCGTGGGCGTTGGATGTAGGGGGGACAACCGAAACTGACGTGCTCCTTCACGCAACCTGTAACGGAGTAAATGGCAAAAAAAAATCCCGGTAACCACTCACTGATCGACAGCTCGCGTCCGCATCGACCCGGGCAAATCGCGCGTCCGACTTTCCTGGAAAGAAAATAATGGTTCTCGATGACCGGGGTTTGATGACTAAATTTTTAAATGTCTACAGTTCGATAACTAGAGTTCGATCATCTCATTTGAATGTTTTTCCTGGAGATCTGGAATGAACAAAAGCTATTTTAATCATTTGCCCGAACCTGGAAAACTTTTAGCATATCACCCTCATTGCCGATCAGCTCCGATCGGGTTTATTCTCGTTTAGGTCAATAATTTTTTTAAATAAAACATTTCAATAATAAATCTGGATGGCACTTTACATATCCTATCTCAAAATTTTCAGATCAGGACTTTTCAAAACTTTTCAGTCTCGGCAAACCCGTTTTCTAAAAAGGCGTTGTCTTAAGGGAAAACTATCGTAATCCTTTGCTTCAATCCATAGCCTTAAAATTCTCCGGTACCGTCGCCCAGTTTTGGCGCTAACTAGTAAGAAAATCATCCGAGCTAGAGTAGCCTGGCTGCTAAAAGAGAGACGGATGGTTTATGGGTGACTCGCTATTGATCAAGATTGTCAAAACTCAAAAACAGCCAAAGGTAGCCTTTTCTGGGACGCACTTTTTAGAAAAAGATTCACTCATTATCTACGGTAAGTAGAGTAGTTTACAGAAGCACAGTGGTTTTCCAAAAGGCACTAAAAACTACCATAATTCACCGACCGGCTTTCATTCAATCAGCTCAATTTGGATATATTCGAGCCCAATGCTCAATTAAATGATGCAAAAATTTGGGGTAATCAATTGGAAAAACTGGAGGCTGGATTACTGTAGTTTTCCAGTGCCTTTTAGCAAAACACATTGACATTTCGTTCCCCAAAAACTCACCACGATATTGTCGGCTCCTCAGTGACTTGAATTTTTGGTGGTGCCACATACGGGGTGACCAACGAGACGAGTTTCGAGTCTAGAATTGGAAAATTAATAAACTTCCAGATCTAGACGAATAAAGAATTATGAAACCCATTAGAAGTTATAAAGGCTGGCTGAAGATCGACTTGTATTGTAGCTGAAGATCGACGGATTTTGTAGGCGAGCTCTTTTTGGATAACAAGTTACTACGTTGATCAGCCAACGTGGTAACTTGTTATCCAAAAGAGCGATTTTGCTAATGCTTTGGATTTTGCTTAGTTGGAGCGCACGTTGAAACTTGTTGCAAGAAGTTTTTTCCTAACCCGCATTGAAACTTTTACTCGTTGTGCCTTGTTAGTAAAAACCCCATGAGCTCTAGAAATCTAGATAATACCTTGACTCCCGTTCGCTTTCCGGTACAATTCGAGTTGCCTCTTTTTGACAATGATCGGACGAGGCGGTGGTGGCTCTTTTTTCATCATCGGCGCGCTTTGGCGCATCTAAAAATTTTGTTTGGGTATGGTTCTCAAGGTGGCTTTTGCTCAATATAAACTATAACTATAAAGCATCATAGCACTCCTGGCTGAGTGATTGTCTGTGATTGCTTTTGGGCGCTCGAGCTCAAGTGTCGCTGGTTCGACTCCAGGTAGTGACAACACACACAACACAAGCTTTGAAAGCTTTATAGCGCAAATCTTTCTAACAAACCTTCGAAATCCTTGGCCTGATCACAACTTTTTGCTTCTCTTCCTCTTTGAACAGCGCCATCATCAGATCAATTTTGCCATCGTTGGCTTCGATCTAGAAATTTTGAATCAAAAAAATGTGAAAAGCGAAAAATTATTTAAAAATCCTTTTACAGCAGTAAAAAAACAAAAAATTTTCATTTTTTAAGTCTAATTTTGTTTGTTTAAAGCTTCAAAGTACTGTAATGTTTAAACAAAATTCTTTTTTCTTTTTCACAATCAGAGGTGGAATGAAATCCAATTAATTGTCCCCTTAAATTTTAAAAATTCAAATGAAATTTTGAATTGTACAATTAAATTTTAATACATAAAATTATTCATACTTTAATACTTAATACTTTAAATTATTCATACTTTAATACTTAATACCTAAAATTTATTTCGTTCTACTTATTAGGTTGTTCAGAAATAAACAAGCGTTGCTAAACTTATGTTTTAAAAGCTTCTCTCACAACAATGTCTTTCTGTATTTAAAAGTATGTTATCTCGTGCATATTTGGAATCTTTTTAAACAAATAATCTTACTTTAGATGACCGACTTCAAAAAAATCGAGTTCGCGTTCGCCTACTTTACGACTTCAAACTGGGCAAAACAGTAGCGGAATCCTATCGAGATTTGGTTTGGGAATATTTGGGAATGATGTATTGTCCGAAAACCGATGCCGAGCCTGGTTCTAACGCTTTCGGAATGGTGATGAAAGTCTCGAGGATCATGAACACTCTCGTCGAGCTCAAGCGGTAGACAACGATACTTTGAGGACTGCAATCGAATCGGATCCATGTCAAATGACGCGTGAACTTGCTTGCTTGCTTACTACTTGCTCAACAGTTTCTATGTTCAAATTCTACTATTGATGAGCATCTCGACGCCATTGGAAAGACGATCTGATGCGGGAAATGGCTTCCTCAAGAGTTAAGCCGTGCAAACGCAGTCGTTGATATCCGAACATTGCGAAACGCAGTTGTTTATATCCGAACATTGCGAAACGCAGTTGTTTATATCCGAACAACCTAATATATTTAACAGGCCCAATTAAATTTCAAAGTAAAACGCAAAATTTGCAAAATCTAAGTACTCCTAATTCAATTTTAATTAAGCGTAACAAAAATTTAATCACCCAAATCAAATAGAATAATTCAATTTGATTTCATCCCATCTCAACTATACAATTCAAATCTTACCTTGAAAACGCTTTCTTTTGTGTCCTTGCTGCAGCCGGGGCGCGAATCCATTACAAGATTTGAGCAGGGTAGAGAAATCACGGATTAACTGAATCATTATTTATAATTTATTCGGCAAATGAAAAAGAAAGTGAACCAGTAAAGCAAAAGCAAAAAAACATAATTGAAAAGAGTACTGAGAATAAGAAATTTAGAGTAAAAATAAAGCGAAAACGAAAACGAATAAGTGGGTGGAATGACAGCTCGAAGCCGAAGCTCTTCGAGTTATTATAAACTAGCTTCACGATAGGAATGCAAGCCTTGCCTTGAAATACCTTTCAATACAAAGAATAGCAATTATTGGGGAGGGGGGTTTTGGCAAACTTGCAACTTTTTAATTTTTAAGCACTCAACTACAGTTTCTCCCCCGCAAACTATGTTAAAATGATGTTTTTTTGGTCCCACCTTTTTTAGGTTGAGTACAAATTTAGGTGCTTTCCGGTTAACGGAAGGGATAAAAAATTTTGAACATTTTGCAGCCCGATTTTAAACGTTTTTTGTTGATAACTTTTGATGAAATAAATATTTTCTGAAAGCTAACGTTCTAAGCTATCTAAAGCTTATAAAAACTTACTGACCTGACTGCTGAGTTTGCTGAAGTTTAAGGTATTTTAAGATGTTTTAATGGTTAGAGGTGTTTCCGAACGTTTTAAGAAAATTTTAATTTTTTTTGAACAACTTTTGCCTTGGGGGACCAAGGAAAAACACCAAAAATTTCAAAAAATCGCAAAACCCGGTAGTCAGATGTCGAAATTCGTACTTAACATAAAAAATGGACGCAAAAAACCCATTTTAACATGGTTTGCGGGGGGTGGGAGAGAAACTGCAGTCTTACCAGCACCTTAAACTTGTCAGATCAGAAAGTTTTAATAAGATTTAGATAGCTTAGAACATCAACTTTCAGAAACTATTTGTTTCATCAAAAGTTATCAACCAAAAACATTTAAAATCGGGCTGCAAAATGGTTAAAAACTCGCCCCTCCCCCCGATAACCGTAAAGATCCAATTGGCTCGTTTAAAAATGGGGAGAGATGATCAATTTCTAATACTAATTGGTAGGGAATTCCTTGCTCTGATAACTCTTCAAAGTTCTCCAAGAAAGCTAGAAGTTATCGCAAAGCTAAAGGCTGAAGGCAAAGCTAAAGGCTGAAGGCAAAGCTAAAGGCTGAAGGCAAAGCTAAAAGCTAAAGGCAAAGCTAAAGGCTAAAAGCTAAAGCTAAAAGCAAAGCTAAAGGCTGAAGGCAAAGCTAAAGGCTAAAAGCAAAGCTAAAGGCTAAAAGCAAAGCTAAAAGCTAAAAGCAAAGCTAAAAACCCGTCGTATTTTCTATTTTGACCGATAGCAATGCTATTAAGTTATTCAAGAAAGCTTGAAAATTAGTGCAAAAGAGGAAATGAGACGATAGAATGAGCTAATAGCTAAAAAGCTAAAAAACCGACCTCGCGGATAAGCCAGTCTAATGATTGTAAGCAAGTTTGCAAAAATTTAAGGTAAAAAAAGTTTCTTACAATCATTTATTGAGTCTTTTGGCCGACATAGCGTCGGCATCGATCCCGTAAACAGTTGTGCTGCGTACATTTTACAAAATTGCCAGAGAAAACAAATCTTTTCAGCCAATTAAATAAATGAAAAAAATGCCGTACTCTGAAAATTTGTCAAACTAAAATGCGCTAAATTTCAGACAAAAACTTCAATTAATGAACTTTTAATGCTGATAAGCTGAATATCTTTTCTCTGCGCAATGGACTTATAAAAGAAAGTTTTGTGAGAGTCTTCATTTTCATTTTCTTTCACTCCGCCTCTTCGTGCGCTTCCGCCCATTTTTAACCATGTTCTGTGATTTCACGCGTTTTTAAAAGCTCTTTTCGAGAATTGATATCGTTTATACATTTCCATCACGTAAACCGCTGTTTCTCCCCTACAACAATACAAAACACGTTTCGTTTATGCAACCATTTCGCCAAAGACCTTTGATTTTCTCATAAGAACTTTTGTTGCAACGAAATCTTGAAGAAAATGAAGAAAATGCCAAAATGAAGAAAATTGTTCGAATCAACTCTTGTTTGCGTTTAAATTAAAGGTTTCATTCTTTTTTCGGTTTCATTCACAAAGAAATGAAGCGCTTTTTTCGTGAAATTGTTGGCGAAACCCTGTTTTTTACCTAGATTTTCTTGGTTTTGCTTAAATTTATTCAAAGCTGTGATCAAAGTTGACATTTTGCTTTAGAGCAAGCTTTTAAGAACGCTATGAATGCGCTTTTTTTGAAAAGTCGTTGATGTTGCTACCCTAAATTTCCTTGGTTTGCTTAAATTTTTTCAAAGCTGTGCTCAAAATCTATGTTTTGCTTTAAAGCTAGCTTTTTTGCTGCCCTAAATGCGATTTTTTTCCGCTAAGAATGCGGGTTTTTCATTTATCTCTAAGGACGTATAAATGAGATCTTTGTAAACCAATTAAGCCAGCCATTGCTTTCGAAACTATTCAAAATCACTAGATTTCTTTGCTTTTCTTAAATTTCGTTAAACTTTTACCTTTCTTCGCTTCCTTTCACGTTCTTAATGTCATGATAACCATTTCTTCTTTAGAAACGAAGCGATGGAGTTGTGGAGGTCGGCGCCGGCCTCTTGCTCGGGCTTCGACGCGGTTTTCAATGAGATTGACGAGGACATTCGACGATTGCAACGAAAAGGATCATCCAATACGTAAGTTTAGCTGGGTTCCTTGTTCAACAAAGCCAGTGAGGTCACCTTTGCACTAATTGTGCTTGCAAGTTTATGTCTTTGAATCTTTTGGAGTGACCACTTGACGGCAAAATCTTTGCAGAATGTTTAAAACAAATTGAGTGCAAGTACACTAGTGTAAAGCTGTCTTCCAATGTAATATAGCACGATGAAAACAATTATTAAGCGTGCTAAACTCGTAAAGTTTCGAAAATTTGGTATAAAAGATGATTTAAGACATTGGCAACTTTGTTTAATCCTTTAAATCTTGATGAAAATTTTGTTTTGAAGGTTAACTACTCGTTATTACGTTGGAATTGAAGTTGTTGGGTAGAGCGAGTGATATTGTTCCATTTTTCATGCTTTCTTTTCAAGCGCATCCGATGTTCTTCAAGAAAACGACAAAGCGGTGGATAAAGAAGGAGAGGATCCAAACCAAAAGTCATGGGTGGACAAGTGGATCGACAGCTTCTCGCTTGACGGTGTGATGGAGAAGAAAGCCGATGTGAGCGACAAAGAGAATTTATCGCCAGGCCGTCGGATCACCAGAAGTCAAACCGTTCAAATCAAACGCATCACCGAGTTTCTCGCCAATGATTTGATCGACAGTTGCACTTTGGGGGCTTGCTTTCGTGCGCATCGTGAATTGGCAAAAGCAAATGGGAAATTTGAAGGAATCCAACAGCCGATCGAGCACCCGAAGAAACTCTACAATTTGAGCAAAATGGCGACGGAGTGTTTGAATTGCGGGCGATTGCTTGGAGCAAGGTATTATGCGGCACATTTATCAAGTTGCCTCAACTTGCGCAAGAGGACGTCAAATCGTAACAGTCAAGTGCAGAATTTGGCACGACCTCAACGTGCAACCAATCAAAAGATTCGAAAATCTCCATACAAGATTGAGAGGAATTTCGTCGGGAAATCAGGTTAAGCCAAAGATTTATTGTTTTGTTACGGGTATCAATATACTATCCTTTTGAGGATTATAATAAATATTTATTTGTTAAAGGTTGAAGTTAACGATCATTCAATGTCATTTCATCTACTGTAAATACTGTAATTGAAGAGCACCCTCGCCACACAAAATTGGTCACCCAAAGAGTCACTACCTTTGAAAAAGAGTTTGGCTGAAGAATGCTTAGAATGGTGTATATGGGCTGTATGTATAACCTAGAAGGGTGGGCAGTAAAATTTAAAATGATCAAAAATACTTTGGGCAAAAAGATTGTAAGGAGGCCCTTATCATTTTCGAGAGCCTTCAGGGTCAAGGCCGAAAAAATTTTCGTGTTTTAGATAGGTTTTTTGTTCGTTTTAGAGCATTTCCAATCGAGCTAGAGTAATTCTAAAAGCTTCTTAAAAAGATTTTGTATGGTCCCCCGATTTTTCGGGGTGTCCGAAAAAGGATAGGGAAAAAATAGAAGGGCATGCCCTTCAATTACAGTATTTATGGTAATAATTGGGATATTCTCTGGGTATTATTGGGATATTCTCTGGGTAAAGTCTTTGGGTATTATTGCTTAAGCTTATTTAAATTCCCCAAGATGTCCTTAAAGTTCAAACAATATCATTACACAATCATATCAAGATTCATTTCTTTTAATTTTCAGTGTTGGTGCTTTCTCTTCTCCGGCCTCATCAAGTGCAAATTTACACGAAATGGACCCGCCACTGCACCAGATGGCGTCGGTGGCTCAATTTCAGAGGTAGCTTGAAGTTCTTTGCTACCTCTGGCTATCTGACCAGCACTTGAACTACTGTCGTTTAAAGGGAATGATATTTACAAGGTAAATCTTTTTATTTCAGATTACGCGAGCTGTGCATTGCTGTCCAGGAATCATCGGATCAAGTGGAACGCTTCCGAGCACGAATCGACCCGGAGGGACCGCTGAAAAACGACTACGATCGCTATCAAGATGTAAGAAATTTTTGCTTTACCGTTTGGAAAATTCAACTTTAATTAATATTCAAATTTAGGCCTCGATTCTTCAAAACCAGGAGCTGTTGGTCGAACTGTTAAGGAGGCAAATCAGCGAGTTGCGCAAAAGGATCGCTCGACGGCGAATTCTCATCGCTGACATTGTTGAGGAGAAGATAGCACGAGAAATAAAGATGAAACAATTGGCGAACGATGTGGAAAGAGCAAAGGATAAAGTTTGTTGGTACTACGACAATTGGGGGGAGGGGGCACTTTTTTCTTCAGAACCACTTTTGCTGGGGGTAATTTTATGCGTAGATTCCGAAAAACACAACGAGAGCTTGGGAAAAGGCGTTTTAAGCCGAGTTTCGGGGCCTCAAAGTGCTCGCTCATACAGCGTGATGAGTGGGATACACATAGGGAAGAGGTCTAAAAATGGTCTCTCAAAACATTTTTTTGAAGCCAAAAACACTTCTTCTGGCATAATATGATTACGTTTCTAATCAAATTGAATAAAAAATTAAAAAAAAAAATTTATTTTGTCTCTACCAGTCAATTTAAGGCAAGAAAATTAATGAAAGTGGTTAAAAACGGTTTTGGGCTCTAGTTTTGACCTTGAAAAGTGCCTTGAAAATAGTCGATAGCTTGGGGTCCATACAGTGAAGTACACCATAGAAGCCCGCGCTTTGAAGCCACGAAACTCGGCTTAAAACGCCTTTTTCCGTTGTGCTCGTTGTGTTTTTCGGAGTCTATGCATAAAACTACCCCAGAAAAAGTGCCTCCTCTCAACTGTTGTAGTACCAGTTTGTTTTGGCGAAATATTATGCGGACAAAGTTTTTTTGGTGTAAAATTAGTTTTACCAACATCAGCGTACTTATTTGAGCTAAGAAAATATCGATTTAAACCTTAATATCACAAGTAAAAAAGCTTCGTGTTAATGTGGAAAATGTGCTGAAGCTTTTTAAATAGGAACAGCAAAATTTTAGGTTTTTTATGTGTAGCTGTTCTATCCAACTTTTATCGTTTGTTTAGGCAAGTCTTGATGACGACGAGATCTTGCGAGTTGGCCGACACTGTGACATCATGCGGACGTTGATCAAGAAGAGGAGACGGGAAATGATCGATGAGCTCTTTCGAGCCTACAAGATTCAGGTAGTTTTCTTTTTGCAGTCTAAAAATGTAAATTTCATAGATTTACAGATCCTTCTCACGATATCACTTATCGTTTTCCATTTCCAGGTTGACATGCTCCAATCGCCGACGATCAACGGGAAGAAGCCCTGCTCGTGTATTCAAGTGGATTCAATTGCGGGAGTGCACTTGCCTCGAACGGAATCGATACTCAGTAAGGATTTGTGGTTCTTTAACGGCCTATTTTGACTTTAACAGAAACGTGATAAAGGAATAAGACAAGTGAGCCAAATTTCAGAAAGATAACCGCGTTGTTATACTATATTGGGTAAGCAAAAAACAATTGAAAATTCGCTTGAGTAAGACCAATTTGTACTTTTTAGCTCATCCGGAGCCGGAAGTCGCAGCAGCACTCGGCCACGTGGTGAATCTGATGCGGTGTGTGATGTGGGTGCTCGATACTCCTTTGCCGTTTCCGCTGACTTTTGTCGGATCGAGAAGTCAAGTGTATGATGCGAGGAAGGATAAGAAGTTAGTGCCCATTAAATGCCATTTTAAATCTTACTAACTAATATTGTTTTCCTTTAGATATTCATTGTTCGGAATGAAGAGCAAACTGGAAAGAGCGCAGCTTGAATTCGCCATGCAACTTCTCAACGCGAACATTCGTCAATTACGCCTGCATTTCGGCTTCGATACGCAAAGTCCGACTGGGACGCTCAAGTTGCTTTTGAGATCCACCAATGGATTGTCGGGAATAAGTAAGTTTTGTAATCTTTAAATTCTCTAGAAAAGTGGAGCGTTAAAGCGTACAAGTTCTTGTAGGGTTTCAAAGTCCAACAAACAATCTAAAAGTTTTATTTAATAAAATTTTTAGTTTGCGTCCATCACTCGATCGTCCTTTTACATCTGTATTCTCTCCGGCTGCGTTGATCGAACGGAGAAACAGCGAGGAAACGATTGCGGATAATGTGAGTTAGCTTCTACCTTAAAAACATTAGCACGCATTCAGTCAGGATGAATCTCTTGTTTAGGTCAGAAACGAGTCGACTCGCCTCTTGCACACTTTGGATGTCTCTCAACTGTGCATCGACGATTTACCGCCGACAAATGCTTATCGGGAGAGGTGATTTGCAAGTTTTAATCTAAAAGCTCTTGTTAGAGGTAAGATATAAGTTACTTTGTTTAAAAAATAACCTTAATTGAGTTGTTTGAGTTAGAACTAGTTAAACATTTCCAGAACAGTGACTATCGGCGAGGAGGCAGTGGATTTGGATGAAGAGTCGCCCGCGACGAAATCGACCAATTCTTTCATCGACACCGCCATCGGGCTGTGAACAAACAGATTTTAAACGGTTTTTTTAAGATTTTTGTGATTCTGAAGCTGTGATACCTTTTTAAAGATTCCAGATTTTTTAACGATAGTTTCTTTGCACTCACTTTGTCCCACACTTATTGCTTCCGGTGCTTTTTCTCATTTTGCTCCAAGTTTATTTGATTTTGTCGAGAGTTCTGTGATACGTTGTCCGATTATTTCCACATATTCCGATAGCAAATAAAGATTTACGATTTAAATAGAATCTTCGCAGAGGAAAAGCCTGATTCTTTTGAGAAAATTTCGAATTGAATCACTTGCCATTGAAAATTTTGTAGTCATTTTTTTCTCGCAACTGATGTAGTTGAGCCGAAACGAAATGTCGAGTTTTGGTAAGTATTGCATTGAAAAGAAGACAAAATTGCTAGATAATGGGATATCCAGCTAAAGGTGGCCAAACACCTCATCTTTGGCTTTCCAGAATGCATTGCAAGCTTGCTGAGCCTTTTTTTCAAAAATTAAAGTGTCCCATTGGTTTTAGCCGCATATCCTTGTGAAATATTTGGAAAATTAAAAGATATTCAGTTTGAAAGGCTCTGTAAACAAATCACATGGCAATTACGGCTTGCCATTGGCCATTAGGCAATGATAAGTCGGGAAATGATTGAAGGATTGATTAGATTTCGGACAATTTACTGTCTATTCCAATTGCTAAGCTTCGAAATCGAATGTCTAATTATTTATTTTTGGGTGGCGTCGAAGCGGCGATGTCGATCGATGGAAATGAGGAAAACGGAGAGGAAATCGAGGACGACGACGAGGAGGATTTGGAGCCGAGATTGCATTACGAGCTGCTTGGGGCAAACGATGTAAAACAGGTGAGGGGGAAAGCAAGGGGTTTAAACTTACCTTAACTTACTTAACTTAAACCTTTAACCTTTCAAGCTTAAACGGCTAAAGGTTAAAGGTTTAAAGCGGCCCATAGCCTCAAAAAGTGTCTTAAATTTTTTCAAAAAAAAAAGAATTGAACAAAATTTGCACAAGGGCACTATTAAGTTCGATTTTTCTTTCAGCCAATTGTGCCTTTATCTGGCTCTGGCTCCAGGATTGTTCCCTAAAACCAAATTTTAACCAAGACCAAACCTGGCCGGGCTCTAGCCCTGCCAAATCAATGTCAAAATTTCAAAGTTTCGCATGGCTGCCTTTTCATGACTCTTGGTCTCGCCTTGGTCTTGGTCTTGGCAATTTTGTGGACTAGGAAATTTGCCTACATGAAGTTGGCCCAGGTTTGGCTTACAGGCCTTGGAGGTCAGTTAAATCCTTGCCTTCAAGGCCTTGGACCTTGTCTTTTTTCCCCTTAAACCCCATTTCAAATCTCTAAGCAGGCAGGAAGGAAACATGCGTCGAATATCTCGTTTTTTTTTCAGCTCTTCCAAAAGAGTCTCGCCTCGTCGATCGCGTGTCACGCGAAATTCCTGGCAATTGGCACGCATCATGGGCAAATCTTTGTGATGGATCACCTCGGCAATGTCGATTACGTGAATTTACCGGTGAGTTGGGCAAAGGCTAGGAAAAATTTCATGTCTGCCGCAAAAATCAGCGAACATTTTGGCTCTTGGCCTCGTCAACAGTACAAAGCCGACATTTTTGGCATAGCTAGAGTTGGCTTTTTGATCAAAACGAGTTTTCTAGCATTGAGCCAAGAACCACCAAAACAACTCTCATTTTTTAGCCCTACCATCTCCACCGTGGTCATATCACCCGGCTATGCATCGATGAGAGTGGGTCGTATGTGGCGAGTTGCGCCGGTGATGCTCGAGTGGTCGTGCACGGAATTGGGACCAGTGAATTTAATCAGGTGATTCTTAACGAGTAATAGGTGAGTTCATGGAATTGGCACAAACTCAACGCAATCTGGTGACAGTGTGCGCTCCAGATTGTAAGAATTTGCGAGAGGAAATCTCTGAAATTCATTAGTTTTTCGATAAATCGTCCTGGACCTGTGTATAGTTACAGTAGGAATTTTTTTTTATTTTGAAAACTTCTCGAAAGTTTATGTGCGCTCCAGAATGCAAGATACTTTAAGAAAAGAATTTCTTAAATTCGCTTATTCCCCGTTAATCGGCCTAATTAGTGACTGATTAGTGACTGCCTGGGGGTACTGTAACGAGAAATTTGCCTATAAAGTTTTGAAAAAGCTTGTGTGCGTTCCAGAATGCAAAATTTTGCTAGAAGAAAGCTCGGAAATGCACTCAGAACCTCAATTTTTTCGATCATAAACGAATTTTCAGCAAATCAACCTGAAAACGGTGGCTCGATCGATCGCTTTATCGCCCGATTACGCACGAAGGGATTCCGGGCAACGAGTGCTCATTGGCGAGCGAAATTTACTCATGTTCGAGAAGGGATACTTGACGACAAAAGAAACGATACTGTTTAGAGGCTCGGAGAAGGATGGGTGAGTGAAATTTGAGTATTTTTTAATACTTTTAGGACTACAGTACCTTTAGATGTACAGTACCTTTAGAGCTACAGTACCTTTAGAGCTACAGTACCTTTAGAGCTACAGTACTTTTTGAGGTTAAAAGCTGAATATTTTCAGACTACTAGAATTTTTTAAGTTTCCTAACGTCTAAACAATTTTTTTTTCACGAATTTTTCCTTTAGATTCATCACGGCGCTTTCGTGGAGAAGATCACTGATCGCTTTCACGAATGAACAAGGGACTAGAGTGTTGGAGAAGTGAGTGAAAAAATGTCAGAGACAAAGAAGACAAAAAGTCCGGTCAGGTTTGAGTTTTCGACTAGTTTCGACTAGTTTACTTATCGTAAATACTGTAATAGTACCCCATCCCCATGATGACGATGCGGAGTGTTACGCAAACTTTGCTGTAAATAGCATAGATGCAGTGGCTATAACAGGAAAGTATAACTTTTTTTTTTGTTACAGTACTTGGTTAAAAGCTAGGCCAGGCGGGGCTGGAAAATTGCCGCTGTGAGTCTTGGATTGATGCTGCCCTGAATCTCGCCTAGTCTGGCATTTTGGTCTGACCGGAACTTTGGAGCAAATCCAGATCGCTGACTTGGGGGAGCAAAGATGAACTTTTCCAGATGCCACTTTTTTTTTCAGGGTCAACGACACGTTGATAACCCATGTCCTCCCCACGCATGACGTTGACCGAATGAGGAGGTAAAAACTAGAAATTCTACAGTACTAGACCTGTTACAGTACTCGTTTTCTGCCCTACCATTGCTGGCTGGACGATGAGAATCTGGCGATCGGCTGGGCGGACACGGTGATCGTGTTGACGATGACGAGAAATGAGCAAACGGTAAGCAAACATTCAAACAATAGCGCATTACTAGACTTTGTGATACACATTGCGTAAATGTGCTCTTTCTGGCGCACTGGACTCTTCATTTTGAAAAGGAAGAATTTGAGTGCACCAGAAAAGCTTGCTTGCGTGATATCCGAGCACAAAGTACACGCAGAATCAAAGCAAATCAAACCTTTGATTACCAAAAGGCGACGGGCTTGAATGAGCCTAAGCATAAGCCTAAGCCTAAGCCTTGAGCCTGAGCCTAAGCCTTGAGCCTGAGCCTTGAGCCTAAGCCTTGAGCTTGAGCCTGAGCCTGAGCCTGTAGGTTTACAGTATCCTATGCGTTTCACCGAGAGTGTCACTTAAGCAAGGATACGGCCAATCTGTTCAATCTAATTCTAGAGACAACGCTACGGCGAGATCCGCTACACTTGGCAGCTGTCGATGGGCCTTTCCGGCATCTCCCATATACCGAAATCCTCGAATCGGACAATTGATATCGATGACGAGACGGTGAGGAAATTTATAGTTGAAATGAGAGCCAGACTACGATAGTTGTTCCCCTGAAACGCGCCTTTATAGAAAATGAATTACTGTACGTGCACTCATCACTGAGAAGACTCAGTTTTCAGATCGGCGAACCGTGGGGCGAGTTGATCGTTTTCGGGTTGAAACCCGGCGAGGAGGCGGACGAGAGTGGGGTCGATGCGTTCTGTGATTTGGCTGTAAGTTTTCAAAAATTTATTCTAACTATGCCAATATGTGTCCTGACATCCAGAATCAAAAAATAAAATCTTTACTTTGGTCAAAGGTATTCACTTTGGCTTTCTTTGGCTTGCGACAGCCTCGCTAACGTGTGAAGCCAGCACCTGAAAATGTAAAAAGATCGTTTTACACAAGAAAACATCTTGAATATGTTGAACACGTTTCAGAATGATATTTCATTCAAAAATAAATCCTTTTTTTTTCTAGTCAGTCGCCTCAATGTCAACCTCGTCTTCGCCGAGCGTTCCCCCGACGGTATTCGTGGCGATTCTCGAGCCCGAGTCGACAAACGCCTACGAGCTACAGGCCGAGGATAAAATCGGTTTCACCACCCACTCGCATTCGATGCCCGCCCATTTCGCGATGTGCGCTTTACCCGAATTCGACACTTATTTTCTGATGGGACCAAAAGAGATCGTGACGGCCACGCCGAATTGCGCCGATGATGTGGTGAGTGGGGGGAAAATTCGTCAACTTTGCAGCACTGAGAGCTGCGATGGTTAGTGTGCGTTCCAAATCAGCCAGAAAAACGGTAACTCCCTAGTTACCGTTTTTCTGGCTGACAATTGCTTTCCCAATGGCATCGGAAGCGCAGGGATGCTGTATGAGTCTCGGTGTTGCATCTCTGGTAATTAGGGGAAAATTGCTTTCCCATTGGGCTTTTCGGTGACGGTAAAATTTAGAAAATCGAGCTAGCAACGTCGAGTTATTCTAGGTTCAATGGCGTCGCGATCACGGTCGCCTCGAGGAGGCGTGGACTTTCGCACTGCAGCACATCGACGAGTTGACGAACCCGGATTTTCATCCATCAGTGATTGCAAAGTGAGTAGTTTGAGATTTGAGATTTCGGATTTTTCGTCAAAGCCTGTTACTCGGACGTTTTTAAGGCTCCCTCTTTTCATTAAAATTTTCAGACTACTAATCGAGTCACTCCT